CACCCAGATAAGCAGAGATTAACACCAAGATTATCACCAGACATACAATCAAGCAGTAAACAATACCCTACTCAAGGGACTACCAAGAAAAAAAACCCCCACCCCCACCAACACTGGCAGGGCAAGCTGTATATACTGTATATAAACACAGCAAACCCCACTCCATTCTAGCGCTGAAGATGTTAATGATCTGGGTACGAAACCTTTGCAAGAAAAGAAGCTCAGAGAACCCCAAGGACCCCACATGACCCTAAGTCTCCATCGTGTTTGCCTCTGTGTCACTGTTGCACAGTTTTCATAATTTAGACCAGTCCAGTTGTGTATATTACTACTTCATGTGTCTCTTTATTGTCCCCTGCTTGTTTCCTCTTCCATTGTTACTTCTAGCAGGGTCCTTTGTACAGCATTGCATCTGAGTATATGACCCAAATATCTCAGCTTTCTTTGTTTGATAGATTTTGTAAGGCTTTTTTTTTGTCCTGTGCTATCTCTAGGATTTTGAAATTTGATCTTTTCTTATTCCAAAAAAAAAAAAATTCAAGATTTCCTTTAAATGCCACATTTCAGAGGCTTTCAGTCTGTTCTCAACCCGGTTGGATATTGTCCATGTTTTGCTGTTGTAAAGGAGAGTCTGACCAAATGTAGCATTTGGACATTCTTGTTCTTAGTTTTAAGTCTGTTTGCTTGAGGTTGGGATATTCTTACTAAGTTTTCCTGGAAATTTCTATTAGCCTCTTTATTTCACCAGCTGTTTTCCCCTCTTCCATCATTAAGAGTCCAAGATTGATAAAATTCTTAACTTTCTGAGCTAAACATTGTTATTGTTTTTATTTCTGGAGGGTCTTTTTATCCTGAGATTATCATCACCCAGGATTATGGGGGTTTTTTGGTTTGTTTTTGTTTTATTACAGTGTAACCCATATTTTCACTTGTTTTTGTTGTCTCAATTGCAAGCTTCAGATCCTCTTCTTTTTCTGCCAGGAACAGAAGCATCATCTGCTATTTTGTTTATTTTCATATCACCTATTGACAGTCCTGGTGCAATTCAAATATTTCTTCAGTATAGACACTGAAAGAAGGTTGATAGGAAACACCCCTCATGCAGTCCTTTTTGCACTGAAAACTCCTCTGAAAAATCTCCTTCAGTCTTACAAGAAGTTTGTTCCCAGTGTCGATTCATTGTAATTCTAAAGCTTTTTGCCATCCATTCCAATTTACTCCAAGCTTTTGATCACTATTTCATGATTTATAGAAAGAAAGGCTTTGAGTAATTAACAAAGCTTAAAAAGTTGTAGGTGTTCAGATTTGTAGAGATAATTTTAAAAAAAATGATGGATGAATAATCTATAGAGTATAATACTCATATTCAAAGTGCTTGAACATGTAAAACCCAGCGGAATTTAGTATCTATCTAGTAATGGGGGAGATGGGCGGCATACAAATTGGATGGATGGATGGATGGATGGATGGATGGATGGATGGATGGATCACCTTCTCTCTCATGTACAAGCCTGATCATTAAACTCTGGTGGGATGCTATCTTGACAAATGTTGCATTTACCAGGAATCTATTAGGCTGCAGTGTAAGAGAGGGCATTCTAGATACAGGAGCCTTAAATTTAAAATTTCTTTAGATATTACTGGTATAAGCTTTGCAAGAGCTTTCAACACTATCTGAAAATGTATGATTAATTGAATCTATACATCTCTTGCTGTGTTATGTCTTCATTTTAATATGTTGTATGTGTGTGAGTTTAAGAACTTGTAAAATAATTTAATTTTATGGCTTAATTTTATAATACACAGGGATTAATATGCTTGTAATGAAAAATAAGTATGAGCATTCTAAATAAAAGAAATACTGTTTGCCTGTTACCTGTAAAATGTAGATATATGAAAGAGTTTGGGTGTATATATTTTTCCATGGTTTCTTTTTTTGAAGAGTGGTTTTTTTGAAGGACTTTTAAAATAAAGATTTAATTGGATATTCTTTGTTGTCATGTATGCTATATAGGTATTTATTGTAAAACCTTCAAGAAAAGCCTACAGTTAATCCTAGTTTATAGCTGGACTTTTCCTGAATAACCTTCAGTGTCTTTTCTTACAGTAAAGCTGTGATGGACCTATTAGTAGACCTGTGCAGCCAGTACCACTTAAATCCAGCCCATTATACTCTTGAGTTGCAGTCTTGGGGGACCCAACAACCTTTGAGTTACAAGCCAAATACTTTGATAGGGGCGCTAGATGTACAGAAGATACTTCTAAAAGTGAAAGTTCCTGAAGAAAAAACTAAGCGGCCTCCTCCAAAGATTCCTGAGGTAAACCATTCTGTTATGGATCTATGTCTTGCAAAGGTGTCCAGGAATAGAGAGGTGGATAGTCATCTCGCTATACTGGATTATTTTAATATTGCTGATACAGTCTTTGAAGCCACCAAATATCACGCGGATAGGCAGTGCCAGCCAAATACTCAAGGTCCTGGTGATTCCAGTGTTCTGAGTGTAAATTCACAGTGGGAAGCTTTTTGAGCAGGCTGTCAAACCTGAAAAAAAGGTATGGTTGTTTTATGAATTGTATTCAGTTTAATAGGTTGACATCTTAAACCATTTGGCTCTTTTAAATAAGCAAATGAATATTTGTAATAAATCAATACAAATGAATGCATGAGATACCTACTTAACTGAAGCAAACAAAAAGACTCAAGGCCTGAACATCTAGGTTTGACTTAAGAGTGAGGAAACAAGTCAGGAGTGGATCATGGGGAATGTATAGTATAACAAACAGGTAGTTCTTGGTTAATGATCACTCATTTAGTGACCATTCAAAGTTATGACAGTGCTGAATGAGTGGTGGTTATGAACGATCCTCAAAGTTCTGGCCATCCTAGCACCCCTGCGGTCATGTGATCACGATCTGGGCTCTTGGCAACCAGCTCTCATTTAGGGTGGTTGCAGCATCTTGTGGTCATGTGATCGCAATTTGCAACCTTTTCTGCTGGCTTCCCACAAGCAAAGTCAATGGGGAAGCCAGCAGGGAAGGTCACAAGTCACTTGAGTAAGTCTCCCCCACCCATGCACCCTCTCCCAGGTGCTACGCACTTGCGCTGCTCCTCACTGGTCACCCGCATACCCTTGCACACTCTCCTCAAGCCTCACTGCACTTATGCTGTGCCCCTGTATTCTGTGCACCCGTTTGCACCCTCCCTGAGCCTTGCTGTGCACCTTCCTGGCCACTCGCACACCCTCCCTGGCCAAAGAAATTCTCCATGATTCTCATCTGCACGTTTTGCAACTACATTATGAGGAAAGATTCAAGGAATCTGGGTGGCATTATAGTGTGCTTTCTTGTTTTCTAATCCAACTAAATCTGGTATTTTAATAAATGTGATTTCTCTTCAGTGTTAATGTTTTCGGCATTGTATGTATGAGTATTGCACTGATGATTTGTATTTCTGCATATATCTATGAAGAATGTTCTACAGTGTTAATTTGGTATATTCATTTTTTAGTTCTCTCATCCAGTTGAATTTTAATTCAATTTTTAATTTTATTTTAATTCTACTTGAATTATATTAATAAAGTGTGATGCTTAGAAATTTTTGTTTGTTTGTGCATTGCTTTTCCCTAGAAAACTGTGAGACTGGTAGTAAATTATTTGAAGACACAAAAGACAGTAGTTCGAGTGAATCCTGAAGTTCCTCTCCAGAGTATAATCCCAGTCATTTGTGAGAAGTGTGAAGTTAGTCAGGAATGCCTTGTTCTCTTAAGAGATACTTTCACTGGAGAAAAACTGGAATTGACAAAATCACTGAATGAACTGGGAATAAAGGAGCTTTATGCCTGGAACAAGAAAAAAGGTAAGTCAGGACCTATACTAAAGTATCATGGGAAGCTATGTACTAATGCTTACAAATGGTGCTGATTCATATGAATGGCCACCTTCCTGTGTGGGATGGGCTTGGTCTCATCCCACTACTTAACAACAACATGAAGCTGCTGGGGCAGATCATCTCTTGGTTCAGGGTGCAGTATCCTTAGTATGATGATGATATCCAACTGTACAGAACAGAGTCTTTATTGGGATCAGTAACCAAGCCATAAAACACTTGGACCCAACTGTATATTGCCATCCTGGGCTAGGCTAGGGATACTGTTGAAGTCTTGGCCTGTTGGATCTGAATGAGATCAGATTAAATCCCAACAAGATAACATTGCTGTTTGTCCGTGATGAATCTGGTTCAATTCTGTTTCTCACTTTATTTTTTTTTATTGTATATTTTTAAAGAATAAAGGAAATAGATAATATAAATAGCATTTTAAAAGGATAATACAGATTAAAAAAACAAATATCAGTATTAATATACAGGCCGATAGACAACAAATCTGAAATATCATATGGCATTATTGAGAGGTGATATCTCATTAACTGTAAATTATATGTCAGGTTAGGATACAAAGTCTAAAACATGAGTTTTAGATATGGTATAATTATTATACATATAACTGCAGTCTAAAAATAGTTTCCAAATAGAATTGAATTCTACATCAGATTTACTTTTTAAATACAAAGTTATTCTAGACATCAATATGCTTCACAATTTGGTTAGCTATTCTTCTAAAGGGGATCAAAATCTTTTCCAATAAAGCGTTTCTGACTTTAGATGAGGCTGCATTTCCACTGAAGGAACATGAATTGAGGATCCTCCTGGACTCATAGCTAGAGCAGCCTGTGGAAACTGTGACTTGGGGCAGGGTATATGTGTGCTTTGCTCAGCTCTTCTGGTATGTCAGTTGCAAGGTTTTTGGGACTGAGATGCCTTGGTAACAGTCAATCATATCCTCATCATTCCACATATAAATTACCGTAATACATATACTGGGCTGTCCTTGAAGACAACTGGGAAATTTCAACTAGTCCAAAAAGTGGTGGCCTATCTGTTAATTAGAAGTAGCAGATTCAGCAGTGTTACACCATGCTGCTAGCGCTGCACTGCATTGGTTTCTGATGTTTCTGAGTATTTCAAGGGGCTGGTCACCACCTTTAAAGCCTTACATGGCTTGGCACCACAGTACCTACAGGACTTTTTTTCATCCTGATTTGGCCTGCCCCATTTGATTACTGAGAAACAACATGCAGAAGATCCCTGGTTTCACTATTTTGATACATGTCACAGTGCAAACCAAAATAGATTAAGTACAGTAAATTGTGGAGGGCAAAATCTTGCTTGGTTTATACTGCCAAAGCAAATCACTCTTTTATATCCATTAATCTGGCAGTGGGTAGCATGGTATGCACAGTGCTTCCTGAGCACTTGACCCTTGCTAATTTTAATTTAAATAGGATAGAGAGACAGCATGCAAAGCATGTCTTGTGTGTACAGGTGCATTAGGTAGCTCAGGGCGAGCTGACTGCAGTCCATCCTGAATCATACTACCGAGGGAGGAGGGTTTAGAATGGAGCAGTCAGCAGCATTCTTACTGACTGCCCAACTTCTTCTTCCATAGAGATTCACTGGTGGATTTTTTCCTGGAATTTTTTTCTCTGCAGCGAATTCAGTTGTTCTTTTGTCATCCAATTTGGCTCTCTTCTGTTAAATTTTTAGAGTGTTAATTGTTAATGCAATTTCTTTCCAACGTTCCATTGGGTTGGGAAAAAAAAGAATCCCCCAATAACTAAAAACAATTAAATATGAAGATTTAGGTTCACCCAAGACTTGCTTAATTTTTCCACAAGCAATCAATATTTATTACAATCTATGAACAGTCATATCTAAAGGAAAAAAACAAAAACAAAATGGCACACACCAAATTTTATAATACAAACAACCCAGTCTTTAAATACAAGAAAAATAAGGCAAAAAGGAATGAGAGAGAAAATAAATGCTCACTAAAAATATAAATATTTAGTATTCAGACTGTACAATTTCACATCCCCTTTTTTCTTTTATTGCTCATTGTGTACATCTTTAATTATTTATCCTTATGAACAGCTTGTTTTTTTGTGTTACACGTTGTTGAATAAAATGCTATTTGCATTTTGTTCTGAGAGCAGCAGGAAGGTAAAAATCCTCATTGGACTTACCTGGGTAATTCTTTAAAAGAGAGAAAATTAATTTCTGAGGAATATCATGATAAAAGTAACAACACAAAAACCAAGTGATCAGCTGTCTTTTTCTCCTGCACACTGCAAGGCTACATTCCTCTAGTGAAAGGGACCTTTTTATATCAACTCTACAGTACAGCTGAGCAAAGCACATTGATACAAGCCATTATATATGTCCTACAATGTTTTGGTTTTGCTATGTTAGTTAAATTACTAGCTGGTTTCTGTTTGATTACAGGACTTCTTAAATCTGGATATTTATAAACCAGAAGTCTGACTATACCACAAATAAATACGCTAGAAACATTTTTCAATTAGACAGTTTAGGATTTTCATATCCCACTGATATCAGCAGACCAGTGGATATCTTGCAACTTTTAAGTTTCTTATGAAATCTTTATTCCACTTGGAGCCAGTGGTATCCAAAAATATTAGAGTTAATCCTGATGAAAAAATGAATTGCTTTAAGCACACACACAAAAAGAATATAAGCAGGTTTGTGTTTCCACTTTTAACAGGCATGTTTCTAATCTTAAAGTTACATTTGAAGTAAACCGAGGAAGTCTTAAAATAGATCTTAAATATGTCTGTATAGTTTCTAAAGACTGATAATCCTAATAAATACAAACTTGAGAATCATACAACAGATGAGCAGTGGTCTTTGCTTTGAATGTTTTAATTGCTGCTCCAACATAATATCTGCCAGGGTCCTATAGAGTTTATTGGATTGGCACTTCTTTGAGCTTTTCCTCTATTGTATTGAATTTGACCTTTCTAGATTCCAGAAGTCTGGAAAAATGCCAAGGCATTTATATAATTGTACTTGTTCACTATTAATTTTAACTATTTCCCACTTGTGAATATTTGAACTGTTAAAAAATGCAGCTGGTTTTGTTTTCTGATAATTGACTGTCTCTCTCACAGTAATCTGCCAAGGCACATAAAAGCCTTCCCATTGCTGCCAGTGACACAATAGCCATATCATCAGGATAGAGAAGAGCCATCAAATGCAAATTTCAGGATGAACATCAGGGCTTATCACAGAATTGGCATAACATTAATCAAATGACCCAACAAATTGAGGCAGCTATATTAATAGGAGCAACAACAAGCATTTATCTATGCAAATGCCTTCAAGTTTATTCCACAATCTGTTTAAAATCAATAAAAGCTATATATATGTGATGGACTGGAATGGAGGAAGGGGGGTGAAAACGGTGCTCTCGTCTCCAGAGCCAAAAGTTGTTGATAAGGGGGGAAAAAAAGCGGGTCCCCAAACAATCCCAAAGAAAGAGAATAAACGTGGGTGGGGGGTAGAGGGGGGGCT